CTTCTTGAGCCAGGTTCCTAGTACGGGCGAACCGCTCAAATCAGGCGAGCCTAACAGTTTAGGCGAGCTCCATCTCTTTGAGCCAGGTTCCCAGTTTCGGCGAACCGCTCAAATCAGGCGAGCCTAACAGCTCAGGCGAGCCCATCTCTTTGAGTCAGGTTCCCAGTTTCGACGAACCGCTCAAATCAGGCGAGCTTAACAGTTTAGGCGAGCCCATCTCTTTGAGCCAGGTTCCCAGTTTCGGCGAACCGCTCAAATCAGGCGAGCCAAACGGTTTAGGCGAGCCCCACTTCTTGAGCCAGGTTTCCATTTATGGCGAACCGCTCAAAACAGGCAATACTAGCAGTTCAGGTGGGCTGCATCAAACTCCCACTTGGTCAAACCTTCAGATAGTTAGGACCAAAGCCACAATCCCCCGCCAATCCTCTTCAATAGGATGGCGGGACCCCCACTGTCATGTTAACGGTCACCTCTGGGGACCCCCCACTGTCACGTTAACAGTTACCTCTGACAAATCAACTTACCAGTCCTCTTCAATAGGATGGTAGGTCCATAGAGTTGCTCAATTCGCAATAAACTCCCACTGTCATGTTAACGGTCACCTCTGACAAAATCAACTTACCAATCCTCTTCAAAAGGATGGTAGGTCCTCAAAGTCGCTCCGATCGCGGCAATTCCTATCACGTTAACGATTACCTCTGATAGCCGACACCGTCATTCCCGCAAATGACGTTGTCCGATCAGTCGTCATACTCATACGTCCCTGAACGATTTGATTCTCCCAGCACCGTCTTTCCCATAAAAGGCGTTGTTATTTGATAGTGGCCTACCATGCGATGTGCTGCTATTTCAAGGTTAGTCTTTGCCCCAAGAGAAGACAAATCAGGGTTCGTCTTCATCTTTGTCCTAAGAGAAGACAAGTTTCCCCCTTATCCTCCAATCGGTGCATGAGGCTAAACTGTTCCCTTATACTCCGACTGGTGCATGAGTCTAAACTGCTCCCTTATACTCCAACTGGTGCATGAGTCTAAACTGCTCCCTTATACTCCAACTGGTGCATGAGTCTAAACTGCTCCCTACACTCTTAATCCAAATGCCTCGAAAGGCTAAGGATAGAGGAGAAATTTTAGCATTGAGCCTAAAAGAAACTCCTCAACAACTTACCATGCTAAGGGCAAGAGCATGGCTAGTCCAACTCAAACGGCAGTTAGTAAAGACAAATCAAGTCCGTTGATAGCTGAGGGTTTGCTCAAAATCCTAGAAGGCGATCATCAGCTGCGAGTGAAGAGCAGGGATCACTTTACGGGACTTCATATCCAAAGTGTTCCAGACCCCATGCGGCCTGATTCAGGTCTGAAAACTTTGGAGGGGGTTTTGTAGGCAATAAAAATTGCCTTTAAATCCTTATCAGAGAAGTTCAGAACAAAACTGCTAAAACCTCACCCGAAATAGCGAAAAAGGGGAAAACGCAGATATCTCCCAAACCGTAAGGAATTTGGCAAAACGGAGGAAGCGAACCGAAGCCTTCGGCTCGGTTCGGATGGCTCCATCTCGTCGAGATAGGCGATTTTCATATATAATTCGTCCAATTCCGACTTACGGTTTGAAAGTTACGGCCTATTCTTCAATCCATGCTCAGGAGCTCGCCTGCAACTCAAATTCGCCTGCAGTCCCAAATCCGCCTGCAGACCCAAGTCTGCCTGCGCACCTGAGCTCGCCTGCAAACCCAGTTCGCCTGCTAGCTCGCCTGCAGACCCAAGTCCGCCTGCAGTCCCAAACTCACCTGCAGACCCAGTTCGCCTGCAAGCTCGCCTGCAGACCCAAGCTGCAGACTCGCCAGCTCACTGTCAACTGCCCACTTGGAGTATGGGAACAGTTACATCAGTGGTCAAATCCCACAAATCAAGGGAGAGGGCACAATACTCCAGGCCCGTCAGATGGCCGTCCACAGTACGAATGAGCGGACAGGCGCCGAAACAGCCTGCACCCTCATAAATGCGGCTCACCTCAGTTGTCCAGGTGAAGGGACGAGAGCCGCCAACGCTCGGTGGTTGGTCAGATCCACGCAAGCATCTGACAGCCGTTGTCACGCATACGAGGAGGGGCTTTCCCACTCCTATGTAGCGTGATGCAGAGCACAGCTCTTCGAATGACCATTGACGGTACGAATGAACAGCAGGACGTCTCCGAACAACGTGTGGTCACATCCCATAATTCAAGGAGCAGTCAAGCTATCTCCCTCACCTCTATTAGTGGTCAAATCCCATGAATGAGGGCCTTCCCTCCGCTTCTGTTGTAAACATTTGATTTATTAGTTTGTAATAAGCCTTCTTATCAATACAAACGAAGTTCCCTGTTTTCGGGAGATCAAAATTTACGCATACACTGCCACAGATGCTCGATCAAATCATTTTTTAGTGATTTGTGTGTTTGCGTGTTCCTGATCTGATGATGATTTTGGATGAACTCAGTTAGAGACACCGTCTGCACATGAGAAGGTTCAACGACTGGTACCGAATCAGTAAAGTCGAAGTTGTTGTCCAATTGACAATCACGTTCATCTTCAACGATCATGTTATGCATTATGATACAAGCTGTCATGATATCTTTCAGCACACAAGGTTGCCAGAAACGTCCTGGTCCACGAACAATCGCAAATCGAGCTTGCAACACGCCAAAAGCTCGCTCAACATCTTTTCTTGCGCTTTCTTGTTGTTGAGCAAAGTACTTATGCTTGTTTCCTCGAGGTGCTGGAATAGTCTTCACTAATATGGACCACTCTGGGTAAATCCCGTCGGCGAGATAGTATCCCATATTATACTCATGGCCATTGACAGTATAGTTGCACGGTGAAGCTCTTCCCTCTGCAAGTTGTGCGAAAACCGGTGAAGATGTAGAACATTAAGGTCATTGTGAGACCCTGGCAGTCCAAAGAAGGCATGCCATATCCAAAGATCTTTGCTAGCTACGGCCTCCAAAATAATTGTAGCTTCATGAAAATGTCCAGTATACATACCTTGCCAGGCAGTTGGACAGTTCTTCCATGTCCAGTGCATGCAGTCGATGCTCCCAAGCATACCAGGAAAACCTCGTTGTGAGCCTTCCTCGAGCAGGCGTGCAACGTCTTCATTAGTCGGTGCACGAAGTTATTCCTCTCCAAAGATGTTGATAATCGATCGAACGAACCTCTTCACGCTCTCAAAAGACGTACTTTTACCGATCCGAACGTAGTCGTCAACGGAGTCAGCGGATGATCCATATGCGAGCATCCGCATAGCTACAGTAATCTTTTGAAGACTAGATAGTCCTAACTATCCAGCACCATTCCTCTTTTGGACGAAGTACTTGTCATGTTCGACGACTGCGCCATGGATTCGAAGGAATAACGAACACATCATTCTGAACCTTTGACGAAAATAATAAAGAGGGTAGGTTGGTGCGTCAGCAAAATAATCTTGGAACAACCGATTGTGGCCTTCCAGTCGGTTTCGATGGAGCACGATACGTCGTTTGTGTTGAACTGAAGTTGAACATTTCTCTTGTTCTTCTTCCTCAACAACAACAGCTCCCATAAGAAAGAACGTCTTCATTATTTCATCATCGCTAGAGCTAGATGAGCTAGACATTTTATTCTGGGAGATGATGGGTTGAGGAGAGAAGCCATCGAATTTTATAGGAATCAGTCGGTTGATGGTCAAAGTTTGCGATACCTCAAACTTCGTGCCCATCCTCGAAGACCGCGGGTTACCTCGAAGACCGTGTGCGTTCCCTCGAAAGCCGCGGGTTACCTCGAAGACCGTGTGCGCTCCCTCGAAGACCGTGAGTTGCCTCGAAGACCGTGTGCGCTCCCTCGAAGGCCGTATCCAACGGTTAGAAATAAAATACAAGAGGTTTAAATATAACTAAAAGTAATGGGTAAAATATTAAAATAGAAGAGGGGTTTTTTTGATATTGTTGGAGCTCCTAACTAGGAGCTTGTTGGAGCTCCATAAAAGAAGGAGTGCCTCCCAAGGCTTAATTTGTTAATTTTTTATTCTAAAATGCTTGAGAGCTCTTGAGAGCATGCTGACTAGGACTCCCAACTGGGAGCTTGCTGCACTTGCTCTAAGAGGTCTTTTTAGGCTGATGTGGACATCATGTAAGTGGTGGGGTCCAGTTGAGCTCCCAAGCGCTCCACAAATTTGTGGAGCGCTTGGGAGCTCCTAAGGAATAAAAAAATAATTTTTTTACATGGAACCCCATTTTTAGCCGGAAGCTACACTAAAAAGAGAGATTTTTTACACAAAAACCTAATTTTACACAAAAACTCATGTGATATGGCATTGAGATCTCTTGAGAGCTCTCCAACAAGCACTCCTAACTAGGAGTTTGCTGCACTTGCTCTAAGACACCATTCCCTTGTGGGAAATTGGTGTAGTTTTCCTTGTAGATGATGTTTGGTAGCTTTCCTTTATTTTCTAAATACACACTTTCCTTTACCTTTTAGTGTTTCATTCACATTTCCGGAAGAGTATTTCTTATGTTTGTTTCGTGAAAAAATATGAAGCATAATTATTTTTCCCCACTTTCTTTAGTTTGGTTCAATTTGAAAATATAAGAAAGTACTTTATGTGCAAATTAATTCCTTCATTTTCTAGTGTTTGGTTCAAACTAAAAAATAGAAAAAACCATGGTTGTGATCACCATTGTGTGCTTACCACCCAAATAGTTGAATAAATTATTTTCAACCATTAGTGGGGTGAGAAAACCCACCATTTGAGGGGCAAATTTTAACATATGACCACTTGAGTGAGGAAATTTAAAATGTTTAACGAATAGAGGCTATAATTTTAAATATAAGGTAGTAATTTGCAAATTTTATGAAGATTTGAGGAACTAATTATAAACATCTAATGGAGTAATTCCAAATCTTTAACTATTCGAGAGTCTATTTTTAAGTTTTTATGAACCCATTTGAGAGACTAATTCAAAATATGAACATTTGAGCTAGGAAGTTGAAAGTGAATAAATATTTGGGGGAGTAGTTTTAAATTTAAGGGGGTAATTTGTAAAAAGTTTAGAGATTTTAGGGGTTAATTTCAACTAATTATGGACGTTTAAGAGTGTAATTCCAAACCTCTAAAGATTTGATATACTAATATTAAGTTTGATGAAGTAATTTTAAAATTTTAAAGGATTTGAGGAAATAACTACAGGTAATTATTAATTGATGGACTAATATTAATATTTGTAAGGTTGATGGACTTTTATGAAAATTATCAGTACAAAATAAGCTATCAGTGAGTTCTCGGGCTGTGAATTTTGCAGAAACAAAATTTACGGGATTGGTGGTCCCGTTAATTTGCTGTGCGTGCACAATAACATGCACGCACAATAAACGGGACTATCTCGTAGATTTTGTAGAAACAAAATCCATGACAATGGTAGTCCCATGGATTCCTTGGAAACATACTTACTATTAAGGAGGGTAGCAATTTCAAAACCGCAATATATATAAGCACAATTAACCACATAATACCATGATCATACAAGTCTAAACTTGATATTCGCCTCATTTTTGAAATTTGCGCTACATAAAGCTTTGAAATAATAATTTTTTTTTAAGATTCTATTAATATATGGGTGATATGCGTGGAAACATGACAGGTTTTTGATAGCTTATGGACAAAAATCATGCAAGGGGACAATTACATCAATATCCTAACTCATCTTGTCAAACTTTGGCATGTTAAAAAACTTGTAGCTTATGGATAAAAATCATGCAAGCGTGTAACGTTTGTAGCAAATAGTTCCCAACACCTTATTAAAATATCTACTTACAATCTCACCAGACCTAATAAAGTGTGATCTAACAATTCGATTTTTAGTTTTATGCTCCAATATATTCAAAGTCATAGCAAGTTGTTCCCCCACATTAGCATCTCTCGAGCCTTGTAACAAATCATTCCTCCTCATAATATCTACAAGCTTCATAAAAGCATCACTCTGCATTCTAACTAGGGGTGCATTCGGTCCGGATACGGCTCGGATATGATGCTTATCATATCCATATCCGCTTACCCATCTCGGATACGGATACGGATACGGATATACCTCGGTAAGAAAAACTTATAACCATATCCGCTAAAATCGGATACGGTTACGGATATACATGCGGATATATAAGCGGATATGCATGCGGATACAAAACAGATATGAGAAAACTAGATAGTATTGAGAAAAACATAGTTCATGTGATACAAAAAAGTTTGTTAATATGTTCATTATAACTAAATAGTTAAGATTAGTCATCTTGATCATCAAAATTAACCACAAATCCATAATCTAAGAATCGAAACTATCGTAAGAGTATGACTAATATGTATTCGGATATTTCGGATATGGATACGGATATTTCACTACAAAACCATATCCATAACCATATCCTATCGGTTATAGATTTGAGTAACCATATTCGTATCCTAACGGATACGGTTACGGATATTTCATCGGATACGGATACGGTTTAGCACCCCTAATTCTAACATAGTTGATACAATTACCACTAAAGCCATTATATACCCAATCCATGTGATCTTTTCTAATTCTACATTGCTTTAGTTTCCCCTCATTAGGACCTTTACAAATAGATCTACGTCTACTTTGCATTCTTCTCATAAATATCATAATCATGACTAAAACAGAGAGTGCGGCATCCGAGCACATGTTAATTACTGTCTCTTCATCAAGGTCACCATCCTTCTATAATACTAGCATCATATTAAAGTAGCTATTAACAATATATAAACAAACGAAATCATGGAATTATACCACATACAATAACTTGACCCTAAAACTTCAATTTTGCCATTACTAAATTAATTATCATTACTAATTAATCATATTACATGCCACTTCAATTTTATCTAACTTGACCCTAAAACTTCCAATGTTATTGTAAAACTCTCATATTAATTATTAATAATGCATAATACTATATTAAGCGACAACTACAAGTTAATAAATTATTTTGAAAAGAGTAAAAAATATAGAATTGTCCTAAAATTATACCATGGCGCTCACATAGGAAAATTATAAAGAGTATTCTTGCGTACATAAGTATAAACATGCAATTTTAGAAAACATTAGGATATGTAAGTGCATTAAGATATAAGTGGAGGTATATGAGTGTCACTTTCGTAAACTGTAAGGTATTTAAGTCTAATTAAGCATATAAAGATTTGAAGCCTTTGTTAACCACAAGCAATAGTATGTGATCCCTTTGATAAATAATATTCATCGTATAATATGAGGGTAGAGTCTTAGCTTATATTTATATAGTACAGAATATGTGGAAAATTTTAAGCATCATATTTTGAATAATCTCAAGATTCCTATTCTTTTTTTATATTGTATTCTAATCATAAATTAACTAAATTAATTATCATTATTAATTACACATATTAGATGCCACTTCAATTTTGTCTAAATTGGTCATAAAACTTCCAATGTTATTGTAAAACTCTCATATTAATTATTAATAATGCATAATACTACATTAATAGACAATTGCAAGTTAATAAATTATTTTTGAAGGAGTAAAAAATATAGAATTGTCCTAAAATTATACCATAGCACTCACATAGGAAAATTATAAAGAGTATTCTTGCGTACATAAGTACAACAATGCAATTTTAGAAAACATTAGGATATTTAAGTGCATTCAGATATGAGTGGAGGTATATGAGTGTAACTTTTGTAAGCTGTAAGGTATTTAAGTTTAATTAAGCCTATAAAGATTTGAAGCCTTTGTAACCACAAGTAATAATATATGATCACTTTGATAAATATTATTCATCGTATAATATGAGGCCAGAGACTTAGTTTATATTTATATAGTGTAGAAGATAGGGAAAATTTTAAGCATCATATTTTGAATCATATTTTGAATCATATTTTGAATAAGTCTAAAGATTTTGAATTTTAAATAAAATTATATACTTCTCTTAGAATCATACTCCCTTTAAAAGAGGAAGTTGTAGAAAAACTTTATGTGGACTATATTACCCCTAATTTTTAAAATATTATATTTTAATCC